TCTTACTTCAATGGCATAGACGATAAGAGAAGGAACATGGATGTTGTATGGGAAGAGAGAAAAGAGAGACAGAGCACTAAATCTAATTTCCTTTTAAACACAAATATATGCAGAACGTAAAAGCGAAAGCCTTCATTTGCTCTTTTCCTGCTTTCCTTCTTTCCTGGTTTCCTTCTTTCCTGGTTTCCTTCTTTCTTACTTTCCCGCTATCGTGCTGCGCTATCCTACCTTTTTCAGTTTTCTTTTAGTTTTAGCATTTCAAGTTTACCAATTGCGGCACATTGAGGATTGTCTTCTCGACGCATTTGCGGCAAATGCAAATTCTACATCCCATGTCATCTTTCTACAATGATATTGGTTAAACCGTCTTGATCACCAATGTCAGGATCCTTCAAGATTAGATTGTATTGTACAGCCTTTCAAAATGATGGTCAAATGTTTTTTAGCATTTGAATGAATCGTAAATGACTAATATTATTTGACAACACTATGCTGCTTGTCAAAAAAAGGATCATCATTCTTTTGTAATACACCGTAAATGATTGTCCCTACATTAACCTACTTTAGGTTGACAGAGGCCAACAGTTCGAAATCAGAGCTCTCAAGAGAACGGTTATAACTCTTGGCTATTGAGCATGACTCTGTGCTGATCGCAAGGCTCTAATATTTTCTCTTCCGAATGATCACATTACATATTAAAATTGACTGGGTAATGTTCTCAAAAAATGGCTCTTAAAATGTCTGTAGAAAACTTCACTGCTCTGTCGATTTTTAACTAGATGATTGTTTTCTGCATCAAACTAATGTAGTGTATTTCGCCTTTCTCTCCCAATTTTCCCCAGAAGATCGAATCTGTTGCGTTATAGAATCGCCCATCTTCAAGTTATTCTCATTGCAATACTCATATTTAAGAACTACGTATAATATATTTTAAAATAAAATCAGATTACAAACACTACAAAAAAAAAATGTTAGATACAGCAAAGTTAGATAGATACAGCAATAGTTAGACATTATTACTGCTATAATGAATTGCCAATATTGAATGATCCTCTCCATATTGTAGCTCCATATTTTTGACTTGTTGAATGTTCGAAAATGCGAAAAATAGTTATTTTTTGAAAAGTGCTGAAGGTTTTTTCAAGCGAAATTGTCCTAATCTGAATCAAGATCAAACCCTTTCAACTGAATAAATTATTTAATTTTGTACAGAATTCGGTGGCGCAACTTTAGAAAAATGATGAAGTTTTACGATTGAAACGAAAAAAGCTATACCTTGAATACGGAGAGGCTCATTCATTATAGATTATCCGTTACACTGAGCTATTTAGATATAGATACGGTGTTGCATATAATATCATCGGCTACTCCGTTCGAGCGACCTAATATTTCTGTCTTCAATAATAAACAGCCAATCGAGTTCAATAGCGTTGACATTGTCAAAAGGAGCATTGATCTCTTGTATTTGTCCATTCGCTCGAGTTACTTCAACCGTTCGAATCGCTTCACGTATTTGATATGAACCCATGTCGAATTCTTCTTCTTCAATGTGTGTCTGGCGACCTTTTGCTAGTTGAAATTCAACACGCCTTTCATGTATGTCTCCTTCTTGACCTCGTATTGGTTCGTACAAGATCCGTACATAGACACTACCATTCGATTCATTTCGAGTTGTGCAACCATGTACGATGCGTGGAGTAGCAAGACCAACCATACCACCACGAATCATTTTTTGCTTGTTATTCTTGTTACTTTAGGTCGATTGCTCAAGAGAATGACAGAAAGAGTAAAATAAAATACAACACACCAGGTTTCACTCATTCATTTTCTAGTGTTTAGTTGAAGAAAGAAAAAGAAAGCAAAAAGACCACGACAAAAACGTCGACAATCATCAACCATATATAATGGTTCTCAAAAGGAAAAAACGTGTTGCATCCATTCATTCTCAATTTAATTCATTCTCGATGGAATGTAACATGTTTGTTCCTTTTTGAGAACCATTATATATGGTTGATGGATGTCGACGTTTTTGTCGTGGTTTTTTTGCTTTCTTTTTCTTTCTTCAACTAAACACTAGAAAATGAATGAGTGAAACCTGGTTTGTTGTATTTTATTTTACTCTTTCTGTCATTCTCTTGAGCAATCGACCCAAAGTAACAAGAATAACAAGCAAAAAAAGGTTCATGGTGGTATGGTTGAGAACCATAAGTTGATGGTTGTCGATGTATTTTGTCGTGCATAGTTTTGATTTTTGTTTTTCTGTTCCCTGTTTTCAGAATATAAAAATTTCAAAACATAAATCTTAAGTATTATTGCATGGTGGGCATAATAATATTCAGCAACGAAAAGCATTGTAGCTACTATTAATCCGTATTACATACACTTCAATGAGCACTTTAAGCAAAGTGTACACTTTCACTTTATCAGTCCATTTTTCGGGTTTTTCTAGTGAAATAAGAATACACATTTATTTTGTCGAGACTACTGTACATTCTGATCACATGCACATACAAACATTGCATCTGATAGTACGAAAATTAAAACTTCTCCTGGAGACAGAATATCATGTTTTATGATTACTCTTAAAGCGGGCATAACACAAGAAACAGACAATCGTTTAGTTGTCGACTATAAGAGTAAAATTTGCCTAAGTCGATTTTCTGTTGCTCTAGAAGAAATTCGTGAATCATACAGACCACACTCACAATCCTCATAACTCTCTAGATTATAGAAAGAAACAAACCAAAGAAAAATATGTTTTTGTGATCAAAGCAAAGCCATATTTCTAAACAATGTCCTGTCACTACGAGCAAAAAATG